GCGGAGGGTGGGTATTATGGCAATGCACTACAAGCAGCTGCGGATCAGGGAAGCGAACCGGTTGTGAAGCTTCTCCTCGAGCGTGGAGCACAGATGAAAGCGAAGGGTGGCTTGTATGTCAACGCACTACAAGCAGCTGCGTATCGAGGAAGAGAATCGGTTGTGCAACTTCTTCTCGAATGCGGAGCAGAAGTGAACGCCCAGGGTGGCGAATATGGCAATGCACTACAAGCAGCTGCGCATCATGGAAGCGAACCGGTTGTGCAGCTTCTCCTCAAGCATGGGGCAGACGTGAATGCTCGGAGTGGCAAGTATGGCCATGCGCTAGTAGCAGCTGCGTATCGGCGAAACAAATCGGTTGTGAAGCTTCTCCTCGAGCATAAGGCAGAGGTGAATGCGAAGGGTGGCTGGTGTGGTAATGCACTGGAAGCAGCCCAAATATCACGTTGCGAACCGGTTGTGCAGCTTCTCCTCAAACATGGGGCAAAGGCGAATGCCCAGAGAGGCTTGGGGGACTCCCAGTCTGCAGTTTGGCCTAATTACTCAAACCAAGCATCAAAACTAACATCGGGTTCAACAGCGTACCTAACACCAGACCTAACATCATACTCGGGATCAAACCCAAAAAATTACTACCCATTCCTTAAATCGGGGTCCCTCGATTAGCCCCCTTCCCTTAACGTCACCCATATTACAGGTGCTGGATTGCCTGCAGAGTATGGGTTTAGCCGGATATGGGGTTAAGCAGATATGCGGTTATCGGGCATATGTTTTGTGGTGCCCAGTGCAGAGGCAGAAGGTAGTGTTTTGTTTCTTTCACATCCTATGCCGGTTGGCATAGGATATGGGTCATTTTTGGTGGTTTTGTGTGTTTCTTTCACATCCTATGCCATTAGGCATATGATAGTTTCGTTTAGGATCTTTCTAGATTGCTGGAGGTTGCGGAGGATCATGACTAGTTAGGATAGTGTGTTTTCATTTGAGTTCAGTGTGTTTCCATGGTTGTTTGTGCTTTGGAGCTATATATCTCTGAGTCAGTCCTTAGCTAGATGGATCATCGATTACCGTTTCCACCACTTCCATCCTCTCATTCCATCTCTCATCCGTGCTCATTTGTTCACTTCGCCGCTGTGCACTTTTGAGTTGTTTCTTCAACCGGTTGCTAGAATACAACCCCCTTGTTCCATATCAGGCGGGACGTCTGCACCCTGGAATAGCCCAATTTAACTCACCACACTAATTGGCCCTTGATTATTTCTTAATATTATCTACTTTTGAAACAAAAACTGGATAGATCTTGGACCGTATGTGGTGGAGTTTTGGAATAAATGCGCACATACCATTAATGGATGGGTCTGTCAAAAGACCCAATAGAAGGGGCGGCTCTGGAAGCGTTACTATGGAAGGGGCGGGAAGGGATGGAAAGGGATTTGGGCTCGCAGAGTGGCCTGTTATGAAGGAAAAAGTATCTTCTATACTCTCGCTGGGCGAGTTGTTTATAGCCTTGTTTTTGCTGATTTTCATTTTCTCTTTTCAGAATGTATCACCCCCCATTGGGCTGCCCATGAGCATGGTGTTTGGCCTCCTTTTTCTGCAAGTTCCGGATTGCTCCCGTTATGCGAAGTTAGTAACTTAACTGCAATCCCATACTCATTGCCGGCCACCCAGGATAGTGGTGTTCTGCAGCACTCGGGTTGACTCTTTTCTGCTGTAGTAGAACTGTTACGACCACCTCATGCCCAGCTACAGCCCCACTTATGAGTGGGGTTCGGCCGAGGTTGTTGATGCGATTAGCATCCCCATCCTTTCTCAACAAAAGGTTTACTATATCCTCTTTCCCGCACTGCGCCGCCAAGAGAAGTGGTGGTCAGCGATTGCTGGCTGTTCGATTTAAGTTGTTTTTTATCGGCATCGAAGATGAAGTTATTTTATTCAAGAAAAGGGATCTAGAGAAAAGAAGTAAAGTTAGACAGAATAAGCGAGAAAGAAAACAACAGCGATGAGTTCTCCTACAAGCACTACCGGTTTATACTGGAATGTATGCATAATCCCGACCATCGACCTTCATCTACGGATTTCTGCCAACCATCTAGTATAGAGGGTTTTGTATAGAGCCCTGCACGCCACCCTCCAATCCGTTCTCCCAATTTTGTACCCCACACTCTCTCCATATTTCCTAACACTATCCACGATGTAAGAAGCTGCTGAGTCTTTCCTCATCGATAATCAGATAGCCCCTTGGTGATCACTCCCGGCGGGCCACGGGGCCGGAGCGCGTCCTTCATTGTCTTCCCTCTTGGTACTCACGCCTCTTAGACTAACTACCCTTGCCACTACCCCACAACCCCCACTTATAGCAACCCATACCAGCGGCGTACGACCTGCGAAATCCCCTCCGTTTCTATCCAAATCTTTGATCCTCAGTACTGAGGCTAGGGTCTCTCTAATTCCGAAGAGTGCCATGGCGTGGAGTCCGGTAAACAGGGCAGATCGAGCCTCATATCAGTCCCGAATCCATCCCTTCTCTCAATATATCTTTGAGAGGAGCAACCTAGCCGATATGTGAGCACCGAATCGATCAAGAAGTTTGCCCACAAGTGGTTTTCCCCTACATGTGGCTTCCATCCTGGCTTGGGTCCCCCAGTGATGAGATGCATACTCAAGAAATGGAGTTTTTATCACGTCTTCGGAAAAGGTAGGTGATAAGTTAGGTCCTTAACGGACTGGCGGTTGAGATAGGCCAAACATACTTCTGCGATGATTCCGTGGGGACTGGAGAAAATGATGGAATGCTGGCCCAAATACTCTTGTAAGGTAAAGTGTATCAGTAGCACTGTCGAAGCTTCGCGGCCAACAGCGATAAGGGCTAAGGAGCATCCTATCATGGTGTAAATCGATGGAAGTTATCGGGGTTAAGATGGATGGACCCGATTTCCACTACCAGGGCATGGCAGAGTTCATTGATTCGCAATGGCCGCGCGGATCGAGAAACCCACATCAGAGCTTGGATGGCCGGTTTTGATTGATTCTCGCCGTGATATTCAGTAAAACCGGCAGAAATACAGCAGCCGTTAGTGCCTCATGATACGTCAATCAACAGAGTCTCATCCACATCCATCTCCGGTACTGTTTCTGGAATCATTCTTATGATATCCCACTTGAGTTCAGTGTCCATCTCCCCCGAAAACGCATCATCCGACAACCGCATATAGTCGAACAGTTGGCGAACCTCTGAATATTGAGCTTGGTGAGCGAAACATCTCAGGCTGATACTCTCTCGCGCATCCGTCCAACGCATCGATACACACAAAAGTATGTTTCTGGGACTTGAGTGCTGCCCGCAGTAGCGTAGCTTGAGAAGATAGAAAACTGCGAGATCTCGACCATCTTGACCTCGGTTTGCCCCCCGAAATGCACCGCCAATCTCCCCCGGAATAACCTCCCACCCACAAGCTACCTGCTTGTCGAGGCTACCGAGTATATGCGCCGTGACTTGGGACTTTTGGGACTATAAATTGTAATAACGACAGGTGACAAGTACGCTGGTTCCATCACCCTCACTTTCCTCACACCATCCATCAAGAACCACGGGGCTGATATTGTTGTCAGCGATACGTTTCCCTCCCAAGAATTCGTTTACCCTTACCTGAGATATGTCTTTCCAACGCCCAGTCCTCAACAACACAACATAGTCGGATCGGCAGACCCATCCTTGAAATCCCCACCCCACAAATTGGTTTATTCGTAAAGCCATTCCCCAATTCCATCGACTCTGCTGTGCCGGACGTCTTGATGTCTTCTGTCTTGTTGGTTTCAATTTTGCTCCAGCAAAGATAATCACTCCAGTATCTCTCGTTTCCTATCCGGTGGTGATACCATAGTCCAGTTACTCCCCCCCCAAGTGTTGTTGAAACTATCGTCCACATTTCCACGGTTACTATTTCCGATTCAGCTAGAATTTCCGCTCTTCGTATCTCCCTTCATGCTGGAAGTCGTTTGCGTAGTGTATAGTCGTTATGGGATGCGGGGGGAATAGTGAAGAATTTCTGGAGGCCAACTACCACTCGAGTACGCTATCATTAAGTTCGGGGCGAGGGCGGGGTTTTTGCACCGTGGAAGCTTGAATAATTAGACGATCGGCCATGCTCTCGAAAATCCACTGCCCGGGAAAAGAGCGAGCACAGTAAGGCGCATGCTCTTCAGACTCGCTAAGAGACATGAAAACAAATAAGCACCTGCAGCCCGACAACACTTGGTCCAATTACCTGTCCTCGAGTTTCTACTGTGCATATAGGCATTGCGCACGATTTACGGCTTCGTCGACAACCCAATCACTTCTTCGCCACCGGAAGCTACAGCATACTCCGGAAAAAGCAGCTGGACAGGGCCCCTTATCCACCCGAACTAGGGTCTGTCGGTCTCGGCTGTTCCGACTTGACTCAAATTCGCGCACTCCTTGCCGATTTCCACGGCAGTGGTAATTAAGCGACGCTCGTGAACGCGGCCGGTATCGCATAAAACCTAGATGGAAGCAAAATGGCTGTATTCTGGCGGCATGTAATATAGTAGCAGTTGCTTTCACAAACCCTCGTCGATTAAGAGTGTCCAGCTTGCTATCTCGGCACTGTCCAGACCCCGCAAGGGCCGGCTCTCGTGCTATAGTGCGGGGATAGAGGCGGCACGGTGGTGGCGGTCTTGATAGGCGTTCCCCGATAAGAGTACCGGTACCGGGTGGCAGACCCCAGGAATGCCGGGGGGATCAAAAATAGTTTACGGTACAGCACTGGTATTAATTTAACGCAGGGATATTGACTCTATCGATGTCACCACCGCTGCATGGGGTAGCACAGGGTTAGGGACCGGTCTTATCAGTTGGAATCCATACTTTCCGGGCTACTTTTAAGCTTTGAAACGAAACGCCAAGATCTTACACACGAAATGATCTCACAACTCAAGAGCGGGGAAAAGAACCCCCCACTTCAGCTACCACTCTCTCAACTAACTAACAGTAAGGCCGGGAGCATACATCAACAACAAAACAGCCAAGTCCTGTCCTTCCAGGTATGCCTTCCACTCACTGGCAAACAAAAGCTAACAAAGGAAAGACAAACTCCCATTGTCCATAGCCTCCGGACATCCGACTTTACAGCCTTCCGCCATCCTTTGCGGCATTCCCGCTTTCCTTCTGGCGGATGCTTTGCTCCAAGACCCCTGCGCATTCCTGCAGTCGAAGTGCATTCCCGCCCGGCTGAGCTGCGCTCGAAGATAAATCGCGCTCTCAGAGGCTCTTCGAACAATCAAACTGTCGTGAGAGCATGCCGAGCAGCACCTTGCGATTCCCAACAGCCACCACACGATATCAAACCCTCTTGCGCAAGTGCGGTATGTAAATAATAATACTGCTCACCTACCTAGGTTGCCTAGTGAGCCGGATTCCATTTTAAGTTTGCTTTCTTTTCTTCAGTCCATTTCTCTCCAAAACAACCAAGAAGATTGATCCGCTTCAGTTTTTCTCTGATCCGCTTGCGCCCTCTCTCGGCCAATAGATATATCCTCCCTCTCTCTATCATCTTCCTCTTCACTCCACTCAATGTATATCAGATCAACTCTATTCTCTTTTGTTGGTCACTCATTCCGGTTCCGTGAAACGTCCGTAACAACCATTGACACCTCCGTTCGATCAACCATGAATTCCAAATGCTTACAAAACCCCATATGATCTCGAGAAAAAAAAAAGCTCTTAGCTCCATTTGAAAAAACCATTGTGATGGTGTCGCAAAAACAAGTGCCGGTGTACTCGTACCCCACTACCCCGGATAGCCTAACTTTGCACACCTCTTATAGTACCGCACAATGCGGGTTTTAAATTAGAAAGCTGGAGTAGGGACCGGAATTCTTCAACCTCATGACAGGCATTGGGCTTGCCGTTTCCTACTAAGGCCACCCATAAATTCCCCCCTCGACTGTCCACCAGAAGCCTGGAGGCGCGATTCCCCGCTGCATTTGTCTCCCCCTAGTCCCGGGGGAAATTCCGATCCTCCCGGGAGGGGGCCCGGTTAGTATAACCCCTTTTCTCTTCTCTTTTTACGGTATTTCAAGATGAATAAAGACCTCCCCTTCGCCCCTAAATATTTCACTTTTTCACCCCCCCAGAAGACCGGAAGCCGTAGAAGTTGCAACCGGCTGCAAAACAGGACATAAACGAACCACCGAGGAGGGGAAAACTCCGCCAACTCCATCTACTCATATCGAGGAGGAAGATTGTATAGTGTTGTATATTTCTGCAAGGAAGCTAACACACCGCCCTTTATTGATTTCGCTGCAGGCATTACCAGTATGGGCCGGATGAGCCGTGGATCGATTCCAGCAGCTGGCACCATCCACAGCGCTATAGTATACAAACAGTTTACCTACCCTTTTGTCTATCATCCTTCCCAATCGCAGCAGTGCCTCTCCGCGACTTCTCATTGTTCCATCCTTTATTCCTAGCCCCGCTCTTCTCCATTCTACGACATAGCTTTTCTAACACTTACCACGGCAACTGCTTGTACCAGGCCACAAGTACCCGAAAACGGGGGCGGAATAATACAAGGATATTTTGTATGGACGCTCAGATACCCACGGATATTTTTACAATACGGTATATTTCTATGATCCTTGTTTTCGGGTACTAATGGCCTGTAACATGCAGCTCCGCCAGCTGACTCCCGGCAGGAGTGTGAGAGAATACCTCCCAAATAACGCATGAATCTAAATAACCTCATTTCCAGTTCAGAAAGTGCAATTCTGTAAGGCCAGAGATTTGGGGGGTAAACAAGTACCCCCTTATCCCTAACGGCCGCATCATCCGATAGGAAATCGTAAGCTGCATATGAGAAACACAATACGAGAATATCGCGGGACGAGATAATATAATGACATTTTAGAGTTAGGGTTTAAGGGTTATCGCGGGAGAGCCGACCGTGAGTTATTCTTCGAGCTCATGTTGAGAGGACGCATACGAGTATCAAATGGGAGGGTAGGTTTGTTCAATTGGAATTTCTACAGTCCAAAATCATATCTGGCACGTGCCGCACAATACATATTGAGAATGGGATCGTGGAAAGGAGGTGGGGGGATGGCGTGGGGAAAGTGGTGTTGTAAATTTACAATAAATTGAAAAGGGGAGGACCACCGTGAAGAGGGCGAAAAAAGAAATGCGGTAGGATAGAAAACAAAATATATCATAGAAGTGAGCCAATGAAGAGGAATAACTACAGGCAGTAAAGAGATGGCTATAGATGGGGGGGGGGTAAGCGGGATGAAAGGAAAAGAGGACAAGACCGAGGCCCAGTATTCTCCCCCAGAAACACGAATCTTAGATCAGTGACAGGAGACCATGACCTAGTCATTAATATCCTCCACCACACCCTTCTCCAGTCAAACTCAATGCATGCAACGGGGGAGAAGAGCCTGGAATCCAAGGTGCATTAAGGTTATATGGTGGGGGTGACAAAGCCTCATTTAGAAGATCCAGAGGAGATGTCATTTGTATGAAGCAAGCGCGGCTATGATATACACTCTTAATGGCGCTTGGTCCGTCGGATAGCTTGTAGAACCATGCTTGGTCGGTAGACTAACATTTTCCCAACTACCCCAAAACGCCAATTTCGGGAGGCCCACTTAAGTGGGGTTCGGCCTTTGTTGTCGGCAATGCTTGGATCGGTATCGGTTCGTTTCAAGAGGAGCCGAACTATTGGTATTCTCCCCCTTTCCGCGGCCCACCGGAGCGGTGTTC